AGAGAGGGCGGAATTCAGGAATTTGTATTTAGCGGAATTATTATGCCATTCATATATGAAACATATTAACAGTCAACAGTAAGTATTTAAACAATACAGAGATAGAAATTGTCAATCACCACATCCGCCACACCTCGAATATCTCCTTGCGTATTTATAACGATGTCTCGGTTTGCTTGCAAGTAGCTTCGACCTAACTGATTCTGTGATATTATTTTCATCAGTATTATCTGCACCTATTTCTGAATTATCTACAAAATCAGGATTATTAGCGGAATCATTAAAATAATAATTTGAACGACCTACTTCATTTATTGTCACTTTGTTCAGGTGTCTGTTATGAACTGAGTGATATTTGATGTCTAATATCTTCACCACTCGATTTCCCATTTTTTGTAGTATAATTCCAACAGAAGGTCTATAGTCTTTCCCTTTGTAATAATGTACACTAGAAGTCGTGGACATCAGATGCTTTTTGAGAATTCGAGATTTGAAAAGTTTTGCAGGACTTTCACGGGTACTTGTATGCTCTGCATTCAACAGACGCAGTCTATGCATATGCAACAATTCCTCCATTTTAATCAGTTGCTCTCTCATCTCATTCAGGTTTTTTCGTGTTTTCGACAGTTCACATTGTAACTCGGCTGCCACATTTTTGAAAACAGTTGACACTTGAGTTGCCGAACTTGTAGTGGAGGTTTTCATTGGATTAGCTTGAGTATTTTGAAAGGTTGAAAGACACATTGACACCATTTTACTAGACAGATTGGGAGAATTACAAGAATGTTGAGCAACATAAGTATTCGAACTTCTGCAAACAGTCTTGATGTGTCCAACTTTACCACATTTATGGCTCTTAGCACTCCGAAAACGGCAAGTGCTTCCTAGATGTAACTTTCCACAGGATAAACACGGTTTAATGTTTTTGATCTCTCCCTGCATTCTATTACCTGGGGACGACAATTTGGATTGCTTTCCATGACCACTTGTACTTTCGACTTTAGAAAGCAAAACATCAGATACTGACGTAGTGGGAGCAGAGTAGTCATTATTGACATCTTCATATGTAATACATAAATCTTTAGCAGTTTGAAAGGTACAAGAAGGAATCTGAATTAACTCTTTCTCTAACTTAGGAATATTGATTCCAGCAATTAGACGATCACGTAGTTGAGTAGTCAGCTGATCTCCAAAATTACACTTTGAAGCTTGTATTTGGAGTTGTAGTATAAAGTCTCTAATCCTCTGATTGGGAGCACGAACCAGTTTATGGAATTGAGCCCTCTCTCTGATCTCAAATGTAGTTACATGAAAGTGATTTATCAGAAGTTCACGAATCTTGACATATGACAGAGAAATAGGTTTATCTGGAAATGACAGAGTCTTTACTAGGCTATACGCATCTAGCCCAATAGCAGTGATGAAATGTGCTGGTATTTTGTCATCCCGAACATTCTTTGAAATGCACCACGCATCGAAGCATTCCAAATAATCAGCAATTTCCCGCGGAGACCCATTAATAGGAAATTTTCCCAGGTTATTTAGTTCCATCGCGACGCCAATTTGTAGTAATTTATTGTAATCGTAGTATTAGTATTTCGAGATGACCGAATTACAAGAATCCAAACAAAACACAGAGAGGGCGGAATTCAGGAATTTGTATTTAGCGGAATTATTATGCCATTCATATATGAAACATATTAACAGTCAACAGTAAGTATTTAAACAATACAGAGATAGAAATTGTCAATCACCACAGATGTCCAACTACTCATTTCACTCAGTCAGTAATATGTGCTGTTATGAATAAATGCTTTTTCGCTATTAATTCAAGTGGTTTGTGAGAAATTATTTGGCTTCCAGATCGTCTTGTGGCTGACTGACCTTGGTCACAGATGCGCTGTGCAACCTGGTGCCTTGGAGCACTGTTTGGTACAGGCCTACTCTGCAATGAAGATTCTTAAGAAGAACATGCGTTTGACAACTTTTGCTGAGCGTACACCAAGTTAGTCAGTGATAAAAATTGTTTTCCAGTTAAATAACTCCACATGAACCACCAAATTACATTACTAACCCAGAATTGGCTAAAGAAAAGCTACAAGAAACATCATGTAGAAATCATAGTAGGAAGCTGTGATATTTTGAGTCAGCGATGTTGAACAGGAAGAGGGTTATAGACTAATAAAATTAAATAATGATAGTAACGCTGATTGCATGATGACGTTAACTGAAAATTGCAAACTTTACGATACAAACCCGATCATACACTTTTGTAAAACCGAATGGCTGTTGGTCATGCAATGATGAAACATCTGATGTATATATTGAAAATCAGGTGAACATATTAAATTCCTCCAGAATAATAAACGAAAAAGCAAGCATAAGTTTCCTGAAGTTGATGGAGGCCACCTCTATCAAACGATTAATACCTAACTTATTCATTCATAAAGAGGCTGTAGGGAGACTTTCTTTACTTTGTAAGTAGTCTCTTAGCCTTAATTCATCATGTAATCTTTCATTAGGTATGAATGATGATTTCCTTTCACCCTTAATTACACCGTAATTTATTAAAAGTCATGCTTCAAATATCTGATTTCTACCTATGTAAGCTGAACTCATAACATAATTTTCACATTTCATTTGTTTACTAACAATTCTCACTGTCCCACTTAATCTTACAATTTATGTACCTCAACTTCTTGTTGCCACCCTTCCTTCCACTTTTGCTTTTATTCGAGAAAACTTGATAGCATTGCACATATGAATACAGTAGTATTTGAATATATTTTACTAACATAACATTTCTGTTCATGTATCATAATCACACTTAATCATGGTTTACTGTCTCTGTATTGTATTTTCAATGGTCTAAAGCATGTTAAGATTGTAATAAGACTGTCAACGTTTATTATTTAGGTCCTAATCATTTGACAAGAGATGCACTGATGAAATAAAATGGATCCCATTAATTATGCTCTATATATTACTATTATTTCTTCGTTAAAACTTCGTTTCACAAATTCCTACTTCGTAATTCACTAATCTTTGTATAAGGCATGAAAAACTAGACGGCAAAGTTTGTCTCTCCGTAAGATAACTATTCCTTCAGTGATCAACTTATTTACAACGGAGAACAAGTGGTAAATTAGATCGTCCATTGGTAAAGTCTTTGATTGAATGAAATTCCATAGTCATATGAGACACTGTTTCCACTGAGATGGTAAATATGCCCACTTGATGAGTGTCAGTAAGAATGAAACTCAAGTGAAAATGGAAACAAGAGTATTCTGTGATGCATGGCAATGTAACTTGTACATTCTTTGATAATGCTGTAATAGACATTCATATGATGACACACCCAAATATCATGCTAAATCAACTAAAATACAGTATTTTAACTGATTAAAAATGCGCATTAAAATTTTCAGAAGAATAGACACTGAACAAAGAATACTCTTTTCGATAACTTCATCATCAGCCTCCACTGTTATATATATATTATAGTGAATGAATTAGTGTTATGAACAACATTAATGTTTAAATAACATCGAATCAATAATTTCAAAAGATTACAGTTCAATAGCATCAACATAACAATAAACTGAATGTCAGAAAAATTAGGAAAGATAATATTACAAATTCATGAATTTGTAGTCTCTAATGTAGGCCAGGACAGTAGTAGTGGCTGGACTTGCTTCTTTTGCACACAAGGCACCGGTTGTTTCAAGTGAATTGTGATAGCCTCTGCTGTTTAGACCATGCAGTACCTCAATGTTTTTGGCAATTTATTTCGCATAGGGTAGATGATAGAGAAGGATTCTTCAACGCTGGCTTTTTGGCCGGTTGGGACCAGATGGTCTAATATCGAACTGTTGATGGTTTTCACTACACCTTTACTGAGTCATACTGGGAGATGTTCTCGAGCACGAAAATTCCGGTTCCTAGAGCAACGGCAGATATAACTCGCTCCACAAGCGCAGTTGAATTGACAGATACAATTTCAAGTGGCTAGTCTAGGTACTTCATCTTTCAGTCGAGGAATCACCATCGATCGTGTAGAGAATAAGACGTGTGGTTCGCTAGCATTAAAAGTCCTTTGAACTAATTTTCTTAATTTCTTCGTAATTATTTCACCTGGTATATCGCCCTTGAATTGCAGTCGTACATAAAGAGGCTTCTTGTTTATTTTATTATTATTTGAGCAATGCAATCATGAGACATCTGATATATATTGAACATTAGGTGAACATATTAAATTCCTCCAGAATAATAAACGAAAAAGCAAGCATAAGTTTCCTGAAGTTGATGGAGGCCACCTCTATCAAACGATTAATACCTAACTTATTCATTCATAAAGAGGCTGTAGTGAGACTTTCTTTACTTTGTAAGTAGTCTCTTAGCCTTATTTCATCGTGCAATGATGCTGTAATACAGATTCATATGATGACACTCACATATCATGCTAAATCAACACAAATACAGTATGCAAGAAAACAAACATACTGCCAAGGTGTCATCTGATACATAGACAACTAAAATAATGTAATAACAGGTGAGTGTAGATAACTGGCTTTACAACAAAACAAAAAGTAATAAACAAAAACAGAAATTTAGATCTGTTTAGATGACAACACGGTCAAGGTTAAGGCAGTGATATACAATAAATGAGCCACAAAATATCTATTTCAGTGACTGTGAAATATGAGTAGCTTATGCATATAGATAAATATAGATATAAATAAATATAAATATAAGTAAATATATATAAGTATATATATATATATATATATATATATATATATATGCAGAGAGTGAGAACGTAACATTTCTATTGACTGATAGTATAACTATTTCATAATGATGGTAGCCAATTGGATTACAGGCTAACTAATGATTATGTTGGAGAGACCCAATACACATAAATAGATACTTGTATATGTGTATACTGTCGGTCGATTATGCAAATACTGAACAGTGATAGTTTAATTTTATTCTGAGAAATGATTTACAGATGGACAAGTTTACTTTTTGTGAGTTTCTTTTGTCATGAGAATTTTTAAACCTGAACTGGCAATTCTTTGTCATGTTAATGTATATCTTATCCTTTTTATACATCATTCATTATTATTATTTCTCATACTATCAATTATGTTGACCGGTGGTAGTTAGTAGTGGAATTCGAAAAGTTTGTTTCATATCATTTGGGGCTCGTCAGCTGAATGCACCTGCACATTCTCTGCGAGTGACTGTGTTCCCACTGATAATTAAAACCTAACACAAATATTGATTCAATTGCCGAAACGTTATCCACTAGGCCACGAGAAGCACATCTTATGGGAAGGGTATCATTTGTTATTTGTCGCAGGTATTTTGGATTTCTTGTTGTCGAAATATCTGTAATATTACGCTGACATGTCAACAGGGACCAACATATTTCGGCCCAATATAACGAATCAATGGACAATGTAAGATAGCAATTTCAAAAAATATACTTCGTAATACCTACCAGATGATAGTCAGTATGGATAGATAACACACACATTGATTATACTTTTATCGACCAGCTTCAATTTGCAAAAACTAAATTTAGTAAAAGAACATTGTGATGCACCATAGTTTACTCCTACTCTCTCTCTCTCGCTCTCTCTTTCTATATATATATATACAAACAAATCAAAGCACTCATGTAACTTTCCTTCTTCGTTTTTATTAATGTATTATTTCTCATTTCGACTATATAGAATCTGGTCTTAAAGATTTCAATGAGTAATTGCATTAGAGAATACTGTGAATCAATAATGAGCCTGCATAACAACTAAAATAGCATTTAGTGATAGTAATTTTATGAATATAAAACTGTGTTATAAAAAACAACCAAGATTTAAATAGCACACTGATTGTATCCGGATTCGCCCACATGCATGATGCAACATAGATTCTAAGGAGAAAGTACGTCTCTTCGAGACCAACAAACCTTAGTTACATCGTTACATAGTGAGTGTCATTAAAAATAAATAACTGTGTAAATATTGATTGATATCCATTAAAATAAATAAAAATGAAATGAATAAATAACAAATAAAATAGAATGAATAATGAATATGTAAACTCAATGATCCCCAACAGGGGGATTGAAACCACGACCTGCAAGTTACAATGGGAGCACGTTACTATTCAGTCAGCGGATTACAATACATTGGCGATTAGATGTCAACTTATACCTATCCTGGGCTCTGTTTTCGATAAATAGTCCGTGCTAAGGAATCCCATACCAGGATGAAACAGCTGTCCAGTAGCCACTTGTTTCCATTATTTCGTCAAGCGACGTTGTTCCAGTTTGAAAGTCACCTTCATATAGTATACTAATTGAGATTTAGACTAAGCAATTATATCACATCCCATACAATTTACCAATTTTCGTGTGTGTGTGGACATACATACATAGGGAGGAGTAATCGCGCTTTGCACGTGAGGGTGGGAGAGCATATCCCAAAATGGTTAGAAAAACAGATGAATTGTGACAAGCTAATAGATGCAGGTGGCAGACTACCAAATTCGTCTATAGCTAAACATCTAATCGAGATGAACCATAAGATTGATGTTAACTCAGCCTTTAAGGTCATCTATAAAAACGGTCAAGGGCGTTTATTGAAATACGCTGAGGCTATAGCTATTCATAGACTTAAGCCCCCCTTGTGTATTCAAAAACAGTTTGTCATTACTCTTAACCTACCTTGGTAATCCTTATTTGATTGGATTACCAAACGTTTGTGTTAATTATTCTTAATTCCGTTTTCTCTCACTTTGTGTAATTTAACCTTTCTATATACATTGACTTGACAAGTAAATGTGTGATCAGATTGTTCGAAATGTATAGCGCTAATACATCACATTTTTCAGACAGTCTCCGTCTTCTAATAACGCTATCAAAATTTATAAAAGGGACTAATTGTTTTAAAGCAATAAGAAGATGTTATTTGTGTTTGAGGTCTGCGTTGTTTGTGGGTGCATAGCATTGTATAATTGACACTTTCCTTCCTTTGGAGTTGAATCTGGCGGTCATTGTCCTGAGCAAGATCGCCTCCTATTGCATCATGGCCTTTGTTGCTGTTGGTGACATCATGATAGCCACGCCTTCGTTGTGCGTGTGGTTATCTTCTCGGTGACCGGAAAAGGTCCCTGACTCATCCGTTGACACTTTGGTGAGTCCATTCCCGTTCCATCTGCTTTCACATATCCCCAGTACTTGAATTTTGTATCGCTTCATTTCGTTTGCGATCTGGGCAGCTTTGCCAATCTCGTACATAGTGCGGAGGAACATGAAAGAAACAACCTCTTTTACCTACCTGGGAAGCATCGTTTCAACTACAGGCGGAACAGACGAGGATATTAAAGCCAGAATCGGAAAAGCAAGACAAGCTTTCATTACTCTTAAGTCTGTGTGGAGGTCAACAGCACTCACCATCAAAAATAAGATCCGGATTTTCAACTTTAATGTGAAGTCAGTGCTACTATACAGATCAGAGACTTGGCGCGTCATAAAGAGCATATCATACAAACTCCAGACCTTAATTAACAGTTGTCTTCACTCAATACTCAAGATCAGATGGCCGGCCAGAAAAGATCAGCAACAGGGATCTCTGGGAGCGAACCAACCAGGAACCGATTGTGAAACAAATAGGTAGGAAGAAATGGAGATGGATTGGCCATACGCTGAGGAAACCATCTAGTGAGTGACATCACTAGACAAGCCATAGCTCGAGGGGAACCCGAAAGGCAAGCGGCGAGTTGGTCGTCAGTGCGAGGGTGGCTTGGAGGAGGTCACGTGAAGAGGAGAGGAAAGCATGTGGGCAGACTTACAGCGGATTGAGAAAGTAGGCAGAAAACCGAAGGCAATGGAGACGCGCAGTTGAAGCCCTATGTTCCTCTAGGAATTAAAGGATATAATAATAATATATAACAATTTGTGTTTGAGTTTCTCCGAACAGCACCCTCTGATTATACGGTGAAGGATAACGCCCGAGATCACCAGATAATAAAACAACCACTTAGTTTAAAACAATTAGTTCCTTTTGTGAATTTAGACAAAGAAATAAGACAAATTACCTCTTCATATCGTTTTGTCTAACAACTAAGTTGTAATCTAACAGTTTGTCATTTCCAGCTTGTGGTGATCTGTTATTCGTCATGAATTATAGCCGTGATGACATTTTGATGATATTCAAATTGAGATTTAAACATGGCGTTGATTTAACAATTATACAACTAAATTTTTTTTTTGACTGGCTAAATGAAATCTAAACTATACTAGTATTAGTTTCCATGATCTCTGATCAAGATCTGACGGGATATTTCCAGTATAATTGGGCGCCCAGTCAAAAGTAGACATTTATGTTAATAAGTTCCAGTTTCAATGAGATTTACTGATATGTATCCATATATATATATATATATATATATATATATGTTGGTCTCTCTTTCTGTTTGCTCGCTTAGTCTGTGACCATTTCACTTGTATGAACCTGTCTCCTTTAACAATGTATATTCCATTTATATTATATATAATATGAGTGTTTGTTGACAGTCCGTAGCTTAGTGACATATATCCATATATGGTTGTTGTTGACATGTCTGCTATATGTTTTGCTATATATATATTTCGTTCACACAATTTGTGTGAACTACTTTACTTACTTACCACTGGTGTGAGACCATTTATTTTCGTCTCCTTGTGTTTGGACAATAGAAGTATCATCGCAAACCTAGTGATCTTCTGATTTCCGCCTTCTCGCGTCAGGACTATTAATTTCTCGACCAGTCCATAACAATAATTTAGCGACGAGTACATAACATTTACACAAATTTAATATTTTTTTCCAACTGTGGCTATCCATATAATACGTAGAGTTTTACGAATTGGCTTTTCCCCTGTCTTTGTAACCAACATCTGACATTGGTATTATTGTTACTGATTCAGTTAGTTCAACTTACGTATAGTTATGCTGATTTTCTTGCGTAATTGTTAACAAATTCGATTGCTCACTTTATCTTAATTATCGTTAACCTACAAATTATCAATTAGGTGATAACCTATTGCCGATTTGCAAATTAACCGATATTCATGACCATAATTATTTTCCTCCTTCATATTTTCCATTGACAAACACACCACCGTGTCACTGGTATAAATTTGACGTATTATGTTATTAACACTATGCATAAATATATATATATACTCCAGTTTTCATCAGAAACATTGCTTGACCTACTTAACTTAAAATTTCATAATCGATGTTGAAATATGTAGTGTCTTGATAAGTGGCTTAGATTTCTACTATTCACACACACTATATTACTATTATTGCTATTAATAATACTACCAGCTTAAAGTATCTCAAGGCTATACTAAGGTGTCTCATGCTCACCACTTCAGTAATGTTGGAACTGTGAAAAAATTTCCGTTCGATAGGGAATTCTTTATGAAATCAAGTTAGCTAGGGAAAATGTGCAGCCAGCCAAAAACAACTCCAGCGAACAGCATGAGATGAAAATGTCTTACTGAAGCTCTTTGTTCCACTCAGAATCTAAGGGAATGATAATGATAATAGTGGGCGTCTTTAAAAGCCAACATCTGTCAAACAAGTGTTTCGCCCTACTCTTGGACTCACCATCGGTCCACATCCATTAGATGATGTTGATTAGAGTTCAGGATTACTGGAATGTCAGCATACCACCAGTGATCCATGCAAATCCATCAAACTTTTGATTTTGGTATTGACTAATTATCATAATGAATAGCTTAGATGACCAGATTAGTGACAACGTTTCACCATGTCTACATCTTGAAAGCTCTTCTCGTCACCCTGACTAATACAAACGGCTTTAGAAAGACCCAGGAGTACATAAAATTGTATGGTACGGTCATACTACCATTGCAAGTTTACATGCAATGAAAGTGTTCTATTTCTATCATATTTCCGGCAAGGGAGTAAATTTTAAACTATTATTGTGGCGTTGGAGAGTAATTTCA